CAACCCTCGTGGGGGTGGCTAGATACTGAATCAAGCCGAACTTCTCGGCTTGACGGTCGAACTCTCTGCCTCTGAGCAGAGAGGAACGCGGATGAGGCTCCGCCGAAAGGCAGAGTCTCGTTCGGGGAGGTTGACCAACCCGATCCCGTTTATACGGGTTCTACGGGCATTTTTTGGACGAGCCTACGGGGCTCGGGGAAACCCACGTTAAACTCTGCCTTGTGCCGGGGGGTGGCTAGATACCGAATCGAGCCGAGCTTCTCGGCTTGACGGTCGAACTGTCTGCCTCTGAGAAGAGAGGAACCCGGACGACGCTCCGCCGAAATTCAGTCTCGTTCGGGGAGGTTGACCAACCCGATTCTGTTTTTACAGTTTCTACGAGCATTTTGTGGCCGAGCCTACGGGCTCGAAAAATCCACGTAAAATTCAGCCTTGTGCCACATCTTTTCCTCGTGGTGGGGGGCAAGTAAATATTGAATCGAGTCCAGCCGATAGTAGTTCACTCCAAACCAGACTGACAGTCATACTAACACCTTCCACCTCTTGTATTATTATTTCGTGTAATATACCTGCGTTACTTTTACTCTTGTGTTCGTGATGTTCTTCGATGGTCCTTAACTGGACCATAACACTTATGAAGTCAAAACCATTGAGAAGGTAGCAGAAAACCACTGCGCCATTTTACCCAAGAAATCATGGCAATTCACAGTTAATAAAGATAAAGGAAGCTGTAGAGAGCCCAGATCGCCTACGGCCTGAAGGTAGAAAGACACCTATGAAAAGAAAACCGCGGAGAAAGAAACAGGATACCACTCCGCTATCTTTCCCAAGAAATCATGGCAATTCACATGTAATTAAGAATAAGGAATCTATTGATATCCAAGATGGCTTACGGCTTGAAGAGAGAAAGGCACCTATGAAATCAAAACCACGGAGAAGGTGGCGTGTTAACACACCATTATCTTTCCCAGGAAATCATGACAATTCACAGACAATGAAGAAAAAGGAAATCTGTGGAGAGCCATGATTGCTTACAGCCTGAAGGGACATTCCATTCTATAAAAAAGATAATGTGACCACCCAGCTTAGAAGCTAATGATTTAAATCTGAATCCCAGACAAAGGCGAAGAGCAGGATACTAATTGGTAGAAAATCGGTCTATCATTTGATGTAATCTCATTCGGGACATCTGGTCGGACAACTACCGTAAATCCATCTCACCTGATTAGCTTACGGAACTTGACTGTAGAGTTAATTATTCCGCATGCTATGGACAAGTCTAAAAGAGATTGTCCTAATAATTACTGGCGACGCCATTTGCTAACAATTACGCTTTTCTTCAAGTCCATTCAATATTGCATCGAGCGGACGACTGCATGTATGTACAGATCGCAATTGTTAAGGGTCAGTTCAGGCCTTTTAGATCGATGTCAAGATCGATATAACCAGATATGTATGAGTTTGACGAGTGATTCATTTTTCATGAACTAGTTGGTCATTCAACGCCGGAGGTGGCTTTTACGTTTTTTGTTTTGTTTTTTAGGCAACAGGAAATTTACCGATTGACACTAAACAAATTTGACTCCGAGTTTTTAATTGAAATCAAACATAGTTGCATTAGTGCGGCAATTACTCTTTTTAAAGGGTTTTACACATCATTGCTACATTAACGTCAATAGTTTTGTAGCAACTGATGGCAAACCATTATATATATATATATATATATATATATATATATATATATTTAGTTGGATATGTTAGCTTTATCTCTGATATTGAGCGCTTTCTAATAAATACCGCGCATATAATATATAAATAATTATACATATATATATTTATTTATATTTATATACACACATTTTTTCACACACACACATATATATATATGTGTGTGTGTGTGTGTGTGAAAAGTGTGTGTATATAAATATAAATAAATATATATATGTATAATTATTTATATATTATATGCGCGGTACTTATTAGAATGCGCTCAATATCAGAGATAGAGCTAACATATAGATGTGAGTTTGTGATCCTGGGTTTCACGCTTTAGCGATCGTCAGACTAAAAAATTTGCTTTTATGTAGATAGCGTGTATTGGTGTTATTGTGGAAGTGGTGGGGGAAATTTCGTTGTTTTGTCATTCATCGTACTAACGCAAACATCGATGTATGCAGACACATATACATACTTGGTCGTCCGTCGGGACTCATACATATATAAACATATATGGGCAGTTTCGGATATGACATATGTATGTATACGGGTGATGTTGTGTCTATACATACGCATTTGTATGTTGAAATTCAATGATTGGGAGTGTAGCGAAAATTTCTCGTGAATGTATACATGTCATATTTTTATTTTTCCAGTGAATAAATTTCTTCGCATGTATGTATATACGTGTGGTGGGGTTTGTGTAAAATTATGATAGGTAAAAATTATTATTATTTATATTTATTTTAAATTTTTGAAAAAAAAATATATATATATATATATATATATATATATATATGGCCTATCGATTTTGAAACAGACTGTCGCCGCTGTGTATGTACCTCAATGTCCACTGTTTTACACAAACACACACACATCTATTCATCTATCTATCTATCTATCTATCTATCTATGTATGTGTGTGTGTGTGTTTAGGCAGTATATTTTCATTCAACGAGCATGTTTGGTTAAATAATTTAGATCAGAGAGCCGAGTTCGAATTCCAGTCGAATCTATTACATTCACTAATGTGCTAATAACTTTGGGAATGCTATGAATTATCTTCGGCTCCCCCACCTATGGGTAAATAGCAAGACAGACTGGGATCTATAGCCTTGAGTAGCAACCGGTCTAGGACAAGGAAATCTCTGAATTCAAACAGGCCTGGAGAGGATTGGACTCCGTTAGGGTATATTGCCCAAGAAACACCACATCAACTGCGGCTGCAGTTTATGTGACGTCCCTACGTAATCTTGAGAGATTATACATACATATTTACATATATATATAATTTATTCGAAAATTATAACATAAATGTGTTATAATAAAATCACTACAAAATAGCCATTTTGTTTCAACACTTCTGGTGTCCTATCAAGTGATGGTGTTCAACACCATCACTTGATAAGACACTAATAATAATCTCACTACAATATGCCACTTTTTCTGTTATGAGACCAAGCACAGAAATAATAAAGATTCACAAGTTATTTCAAAAGCGGTGGATCGTAAAAAAAGCTTCTTACCTCATCTTCTCCTTCATGTCGTCAAATGATTCGGCCACAAAATAGATGGGTTGCAGGTCGTAATCCGAATATTCTTGCACCGAGGTAGTGGCTGCGTTGAACTCTTTCTTCTCGGGCACATCCGACAAAGAGTGCATCAGTTCGCCATATGAAGACAAGGCGCCGGCCCCATAGGCTCGGATTTCACCATTTTCTTTCACTAAGCCAAATTCAACGGTAAACCAATAAAGCTAAAATGGAGAAGAAAACGGAAAAGTAGATTTACTTCAATATTCTATATCCCTTTTTTCTACCAGGAAAACAAGAAAAGCAGGAGTGATTATTGAACGGTAAAAGGTTTCTCGCTTAATTTTTGTCGAAATATCAGCAATGCGGTGTTGTTGCTTTTACACGCGGATGACTAGTTTTAGTTTTGGAAACCAATTTTAATGAATATATTATCCTAACTACTAAACGAGGCTTTCTGCGAAGTATACATACGAGACCTGATAATAATTTCAATAGATTTGTCGAACATCTAATCTAACCGAGCAATTTAACGCGAAACTCTGGAGTAGGTCAATGAGCTAAGTTCATTGAACATTTATTTATTTATTGAACACACAGCCAAACCCACACAGACACACAGACACACACAGACACACATATATATTATTCTATGTAATTTATAAGTTCTGTTATAATAAATACGTTGACCTCTTTTTGTGGATCAGTTTTAATATCTTATATCATTAGGATTCACTTGGATTACTTACCAACGGATTATTACATATATATATATATATATATATATATATATATATATATATATATTTGATGCTATGTCGTTTCAAGATATAGGTGATTTTTAATCTAAACAGATTCCTTTTTTATATGCTATAAATTGTCATGACTTCCAGGAAAACATAGTGGACTGGTTTCTCGTTGCCTTTTTCGTGCATCTGAATTCTGAGAAGTCATTTTCCTAGACTGATTTCCATCCAAGGCTAGGGAGCCCAGTTTATTCTGCTATTTAATCCATTGTTGCGAGAGAGAAGTGAACGCAGTAGACCCATTTTGGAATTGGAACCCAGCTCACTTATTCTGTTTTTCGTGCCGATAACAATTACGTCTCCCACTGGCATGGTGAAGCTGCTTCCGTCGCTTTAGATACGACATAACTTCATATTCATTTTCATATATTCTTTACAACAATGGAAAGCTGAAGAAAGTAAATGACGTCACCTGCCAGGTCCATATCAAGTATATCTGGGCGAGTACTACTGTCCGTTCTTCGATAGAGCACGAAAGCGTTTAATCTGTGTTGTATATCATCCGTTATTTTCAACAATACAGCCTCTTTTCCTTAGACGAAATATTGTCACCTTCTTGCTAATTTGAGTCAATTTCTATGGAAAATGTTTTGACGTCAGACATTCGCTCGTTCCACCAGTTCAGACCTTTACAGCTAAGGCATGCAATGCCATTAACACTAGAGTAATCTATTCTTGTTCTCTTTGAATAACATTAACAAGAATAAAGTACCATTCGGTCAGTTTCTCCCGAAGGGCTGCTGCTTTGTGAAACATATTATTCCCGACAACTACACAAGTCTGGGGCCATCGGTTATCTATTCTACATATCTTCATCCCTTATCTATCCTACATATCCCAAACCGTTATATATCCTACATATCCTCAACTGCTATTTATCCTACATATCCTCATCCGTTATTTATCATAGATATCCTCAATCGTTATATACCCTACATATCCTCATATGTTATCTATCCTATATATCATCAATCGCTATCTATCTAGATGTCGTCATCCGTTATTTATCTTACATATCCCCAACCCTTATCTATCCTACATATCCTCATCCATTATTAATCCTACATATTCTTATGCGTTATCTTTCATACATATCCTCAAACATTATATATCCTACATACCACCAACCACTATATATCCTACACATCGTCATCCGTTATTTATCATACATATTTTATGCGTTATCTATCCTACATATCCTCAACCATTATATAGCCTTCATATCCTCATCCGTTATCTACCCTATATATCTTCATACGTTATCTATCCTATATATCATCTATCATTATCCATCCTACATATCCTCAGACGTTATCCATCCTACATATCCTCAGCCGTTATCTATCCTACATATCCTCAGCCGTTATCTATCTTACATATCTTCCACCGTTGTCTATCATGCATATCGCCATCCGTTATTTATCGTACATAACTTAAAATCCGTACGCCCATAGTATAATCCCATTCATTAACTCTCTACTTTGAGTCGCGTTTGGGTTTCTTATTGGCCAAACAGAAGTTCAGGCGTCATGGGGAAAGAGGAAATATTTGCTTTTCACGACGGTTTTTTCAACTCGTTTTCAAGTTTTTTTTGGTTTTTTTTATTACGACAATTAGGATGACCATTACACAATCATTTGTAGGCTTCGTAATTAAACAGCAAATAAAAATGTTTATCATTCGAATAGATTCGAAACTTGTACCCCTTATCCTTGGGATATCAGCTAGTTCGGAACAGCTGCTTTATCAATTAGGCTACAAAGACAAATTGTCAATGTCGTTTTTAAATCTAACAATATAACGTATCAGATCATCCCATAACTTCTGTCCGAATTTTGAATAAAGAAAACAAGTAACCAAATGTTATATTTAATTACTGATTCAATCAACAATGTATTTTGACTGATTATCCATGACTTCCTTCCATCTATTAACAAGCTTACTAGATAGTAGGATTGAATCAGTAATTAAATGTAACATTTGGTCACTTGTTTTCTTTATTCAAAATTCGGACAGAACTTATGGGATGACCTGATAGTAATCTTGTTAATAGATGGAAGAAGTCGTGGATAATCAGTCAAAATACATTGTTGATTGAATCTGTAATTAAATGTAACATTTTGTGACTTGTTTCCTGCAAGAGAGGTCTTGACAACAGGGTCAAATCGGTGCACAGAACGCTCTCATATCGGGTTTTCAGCTATCACTGTCTCACCATAAAAAAACAAAATCATGGTCTTCCGAGCCGTGGCCCGCTTCACCCTTCTGTATGCTTGGGGGGGGCTGGACTTTGTTTCGTCAGGACATCAAACATCTAGAACGGTTCCGGCAAAAGAATCCCCGAAGAATCCTTCGCATCATTTGGGACGACCGCATCACCAACAACGATGTCCCCACTCGGATATCTCTCCCTAGCATCGAGGCTACCATCCTTCAACATCACCTCCGCTGGGCGGGTCACGTGTCTAAAATGCGTTCCACCCAACTCCCACGTATTTGGAGAACTCGCCAGCGGCAAGAGGCTACGCGGAGGCCCAAAACAACCATTGAAGGATATGTTGAAAACATCCCTGAAACATTGACCCGGGAAACCATTCTGGGGAGGGGGGGTCGAGACTTTCAAGTTGAAACGTGAACTTGAAGAGGATCTGCGACGTGCTGTCAGGGTAGCTGGACTCGCCCAGATGTGTCCACCACCCAAACTTCTTTGTAACTCCTGCTGACGACTCTTCAGGGATAGGCTGTGCCTTCACAACCATCTCCGTCACCACCACCATAGGAGAGAAAAAATGAATAAGGAGAGAGGTTGACGATCCCGATGTTCGGATGTGAGCGGGTGCCGACGACGTTGGGAAGAGACGGAATGTAATTTGAAGTTTGTCATGGTAACAACGATAGAATAATGAGAACCTAGCATAGTTTTGTCTGTGGGGACAGGGGTTGCAAAGTGGGAAATAATTCATCACCCACAAGGCCACCTAATTATTTTTAAACTCTGTATTCAATCTGCTCAACGACAAAAAATAATTGAATTTATCCAGATGTTTTTGTGAAAATGTATATTTAAAATTTGGAATCTTCCATCCATGCTAAAGTGTCGCAATTTAAGAAAAATGGTAATTGGTCCTGTCTAATTTCACATACCGTGGATTGTTAATTTTTGTATTAAGTGTTATAAGCCAATTTCTGCTCGTGAGAAAAATTGTTATTCGTGACCCAGGGTTTCAGCCTATTACCCTTGTTCAAACTTTTGATCCAATCAGATGACGCGCTCTCAGTTTTAACATTTCTGATAAAACATACTTCTTAGTAAATTTATAACCGATGGTTACATCTAGACATTTCAATTTACCACCAATCTAGTACTGCGTTTAAATTTGAGTTTAAGTGAAATTGGTCTCCGTAAAGTTTTTTACAATACGCGAACGAGACCCTTCCAGAAATGCCCAGGTTATATATTTAGGCATCATGTGGCCCGGGTTCTAATTGCGCCATTCGCAAAAAGGCGATATCAGCTTGCGGCACCATTGGGTAATGCTTGAAATCTATTTCATGAGTTAACCCAGTCTTTGTGAGTCAAATTGGATAGACGTAATTGTTCGCCGATGGTTGTGTTAGCACAAAGTCACAAGTCATTGTGACCGAGGGTTTCAGCGTACTTCCCTTGTTCAAACTGTTGATACCGACAGATGAGGTGCTCTCCCTTTTTTGATTTTTTTTTTTTGATAAAACGTAGTTTTTTAGCTTTCAGGGATTTTGTAACTTACGGTTATATCTAGCCATTTTAACTGTAAAATGATGAGACCTCGCCGCGAATCTAGTACTGCGTTTAAATTCATAAAGTGAAGATACCATAGTGGAAATTACATCAGAACAATTGACCTAAAAGTATTTATGGAAAAGGCACAGAGAAGCAAAGGTGTGGCGATGGGAAATGAACCGTAGCCGATATTCTTAGCCAGGATCAACAACATTGCAGATTCTTCTTTGGATTTTATCAAGAATCTGTAAATATATAGCAGGAGCACCAGACCAGACATGTCAGCCATATTCAAAGCAAGGGCGACTTATAAATATGCCAGAATTGTCTAGCACGACACAGTGAACCAACTTTCTTAGTTGCAGATCTAGCAAAGGATTCAATATCGTCTTTCCACTTCATGCCAGTGGAAAACGTTAAGCCGAGAAGGTGCAATGTGCCAGTCCCGTTGAGGTTAGCATCTTCATCAATTTTGGTCAGGGATCATCAGGCTAGGTTATATTCGTATAAATAGAAGACGTAATTGTTGGTCGGAGGCACGGTGGAGTAATGGATAGCAGCTTGAGGAATCGGAGAGTCGAGTTCGAATTCCAGTCAAATCCGTTACATTCACTTACGTGTTAATACCCTTGGGAAAAGTATGAATCCTCTTCTTCTCCCCCCCCCCAGCTAGCAACACAGATCGGATTATATAGCCTTAGATGGCAAGTGGAAGAAAGAAACGGCAACCTACTGCCTCGTCAGTCTTGTATTGAAAGATATATGGTCGCCTAAGCGTGTATCACGCATAGCACATAACTGACTGAATTGTAGTCGATGGTTGGACTCGCACGAATTCACATGTCATCGTGACCGAGGGTGTGACCGCTAGATGATGCGCTTTCTTTGTTTGACTTTTCTGATAAAACACAGTTCTTTAGCTACTGCCAGAAGAAGCTGATTGCTAGTTCCACGACTATAGAATAACTATAGCATCGTTAAATATTTGAGTCTTATAACTTTAACAAAATGTTACAATAACAATAATAAATATGAAGGCAAATATGAATTGGAACAGACAGGCACGTTTATCGCCAGGATTCACACTCCTCCTTGATCTTTTAAGCCGGAATTGAGGTTTATCCCTTGTTCCTTGTTTAATACTGGCTTTACGCTTCCTTCCAAAGTTTTATCTTTATCTTTCACAACCAGTAGCCTCTTGAGTCGTAGTGGCTCTATCGCCTTGGGTGAGATGAATTGATCTAAAAAAAAGTAATTATTTAAAGAAGATTCAAAATTGCCAAGGTTTTCTATTTCTCTGAAGCAGACGTTAAACGCGTGAGTTATTGCCTCCTCTCTCTTCTCTTCTCTTCTCTTCTCTTCTCTTCTCTTTCTTTCTTTCTTTCTTTCTTCTTTCTTTCTTTCCTCCATTCTTATTTGTTTATATTATATACAGAAGTAAAGGTATACCTCACCTTACGTTGGTAATATTGTTCCAGGAGAGGCGAGTTGAAAAGCGACTTCAATCGAATTTACTTGTCTCCGAATTTACTTGTTACTAGGCTAAACCACAAATAACTATTTCCAGTTTTGTATTATACATATTTATAAATGCATTTTTAATAACATAAAATAATAAGAATCTATTTTAAGCTTACAAACAAATAAATCTTAGTTTTTAATATAGTACAGAAAAAGAATCTAAATTTACGAATGCATGTACGTACATACAGTATTTACATTAGTCGGACTATTGTCCTCATCTTTGTCACCATATTTGTCACAACGTTTCGGCCGTTGTACGCTCCGGCCTTCTTCAGGTGGTTGCAATTTCGAACTGAACGCTTTATTTCGATCACTGGGGTAGACTGTTCTAGTTCCATGTGCCATGTTTTGATGGATATCAGTTATCAGTTATCTCCTGCTAATTTTCCCTCTGAAAGTTCTCCACTGCCTTAACCGGGTATTGAACTCACACTCCTTGAGGACACATGGCACAGTGGATAAAGGCGTTGGTTAGATCCAGTGACAGGACCCATGTCAGGAAGAATCCAGTATTTTCTTCAGCGGGACAAGGTAACAAAATTTTTACAAACAAAATTAACTACAATTGTATTTAAAAAAATTATAATTAATAAAAGAAATTGATTATATTAAATAATAAAAATAAAAGAATAAAAATATTTAAAAATAGAAATATAATAAATTATACATTAGAGAAAAAAGCTATATATATATATATATATATATATATATTCTGTGTATTTCGGCAGAAAATGTTCTTTAAGGCAAATATTATTAAAGACCAATATCTTTGCGATGGATCGATATATATATATATATATATATATATATATATATATATATATATATATATATATATATATGTGTGTGTGTGTGTGTGTGTGTGTGTGTGTGTGTGTAAATAGTGCGTCTAAATGACGCAAAAATGAAAATAACACTGACATCACATTTTAACAGATACACCCCTGCGTAAATTAATTGAAACCGCCGCTTTAGTTTACTTTCTTTCACCATACTTCCAGTTTTCGACCCACTGGAGTGATAGGGTGTAATCGATTTCTATTTTTTTTTCTCCTCAGATTAGGCCATTTGCAGTGGTGTGCAGTAATAGGAATCTATTTTCGGGGTGTATGAGGGTGTTTGGCCTAGAAAAATATTGCGTCATCCGT